TTTCATGTTGGCAGCTGTGTATACTTTCAGACGCATTACACTTCGAATAATTTTATGCAGGGTAGCGAGAGATTACGTGTGCCATAGAAAACGCTAAACTCAGTTCTGCACATGTGCTTTCGAAAATGGTGACAGTAAACTCGAAGTTATTCTCATGAAAGTATGATTCACATTTTACGATTATAGGGAATTTTCGAGGTTACTGTCACCATTTTCGATACAGGCCTCAACTCATTCCTTCATATACTCAATAGTACGGCGGAGATAGTCAGCGTCTGAACTCACCCGTATTTTCGAAGCTTGTTTGCTTCACTAAGTCATCAGAAAATGACGCTTGGCTCCTTAGTTGCTGTCGTCACTCCCTGTACATGCAAGCCTAAAACATTAGGATCCGAGCTACTAGAAGGTCCTCCGTCAGTTAGGACCAATTTTAGGCAGCGTTCAGACTTCGCGACGGCAGCGCGGCAGACTATGCGTCGACCGCGTCGAACGCGCTTAGGGAGCGCGCCATCGCTAAGTCGGAACGCTGCCAGGAAGTGAATTCGCTCCTCGGAGTCCAGAAGATGGGTCCGATCCTCTAAGAAATCTGAAATTAGGTTGATACTTTTCCCAAAATGAATGTTTTGGCTTCAGCAAGAATGCCCAACAGTTTTGAATGCGTCTAAAACAGAATTAAGTACCATGCAAGTAATTTTTCCTCCTGTACCCATAGAATTTTTAAGCGCTAATAACTTTGAGGTTGGGGTCATTTGTGTGACTCCAGATCATCACATTGGGTGCTGATACTGGCCATACGACGCAACTAAATGATACTATTGTTATTTTAAGTGTTCACTTAGAAAGCAGCAATTCAACACAGCAATAAAGAGTTGAAGTAGGGCAAAACAGCTGAGGTCCTATATTTGAGACGCATCGCGAACTCCCAAGAGAACTGCTCACTGCCAACCGCTCCTGCCTTTGGAGGGGAAAAGCTTGGTTTATAGATGGAGCGCCATCTCCCAATTTTACGGTTGTGATACGGTGTGCCTTGCCGCCATGCTGATTCTGGTCCGTCAGTGACTGTTCATTGCAGTGGAGTTGAAATGCCTCAACACTCCTGTGTTATTTTGACCATCCCCAGACTAAATGGCTTTGTAAAAGCAAGTTTGTCACTACTGCCATCGATTTCTGCAAATCAGCGATGACTCGGATCATTTACGCCGACGCCTCCACGCGTCTTCTGCAGCCTGTAACTTTACTAATCATCAGCGCCTGCTTTGGCTGAGCTGGAAACTCATGTATACTTGGGCTCCGTGCTATATGTTCACTCAGATGAAACTTATAAATATATAGGGTAGTCCGCTGCGGACGGTTGGGCAGGTCAGGCGGGATGGGTTTGGCGCGGTGCCAGACCTGTTCTCCATCGGATGTTTAAGCGAGCAAATGATATGACTGTATTATATCGTTCATACTACTCGTTTCCTACCACTTTTTGTCGCTTCAACAAGAAGGCAGAGAACGGCTTTGACGAGGTGAACACTCATACTGCCTGACACGCCCAACCATCCGCAGCGAACTGGAGTCCATATAATCGCCATGGTTCATTTTCAAGAAGCGCCTCTACCCTCACCTTTGGTGATTAATACTAACGCCAGAGTTTTTTGTTGGACTTGAATTTAGAAAGACCAAATTTCGATTACTGTCTCACCAGTATAATACTGGGTATCTCTGTTTTTCCTCTTTACGTTCAGTTTTCAGGAACTTCGTGCCCTGGGCGTTGTCGGGAAGTTCGTAGAGTTTTTCGGTGACGGAGTGTCTTCTCTCTCAATCGCTGATCGGGCTACCATAGCAAATATGTGTCCCGAGTATGGTGCTACAGTTGGCTTCTTCCCTGTTGATAAGAAAGTTATTGCGTGAGTCCGTTTTGATCTTATGACGAATTAGAACTTACTGGACCAGAAGGGTTGATAGGTCTTATGGAGTTTTATGTCATCGTGCAGGGTTAAGCTTCTCCTCCACCTGCATTTAACCCCCTGAACGGTTTTACATGGCACCTGCTTGATCATTGCTGTGCAGTATTAACTGATGTTCGAATGACTCTAGCAGGCCTTTCTAGCCCTTACACTCACCTGCGTACATTATGCGCAGATAAACGTGGCTATCAACCTTGACTCTACATAGAACACTTACGCGTCTAGTTGACTTACCCTAAAACCGACAACGATTTACGAAAAGTGCCCAGAACATGAGCTAGACCGCATATCGATATAAATTAATGGCTACGTACTAGTTACACGGATACCTCAAAAACAGATCCCGTAACTCTCTCTTCTCTCAATCTATAAGCCAGAAGTTGTTTTTATGTCTGTGTGTCCACCCGAAAATGGCGCTGCATAAAAAATCACTTTTACGGAACGGACATGCTTGGAATGGATGTCGCATGGGCCAACATTACAGCGCACACGCAATGTAACCCAAGCTCCGCCCACTGTGGGCGGGGCGTGTGCCGGAGTGGACGGTGCCGAGGATCAAAATTCTCAAAACGCATCCAAAGCAGCCCAGAGAATGAAGAATTTGAGGAATAGTCAGCAACGTGTTGTCAGGTGTTATGTGTGAGAGACACCCGTAGTGAAGGAGATGTGCACTGAGTAAGTGGTGCTTCCTGCGATAGTTCATAGCTCAGTTCCGGATACACATGAGAGTAGCATATCGCAGTGAACAGGGTATGTGCCCAAGTGGATGGGAGCAAGAATCGAAAGTTTGTTTTCAATGTAATTATATATTTTTATTTCTTACCTGTCTTTATTGTACAGCAATCTAGGCAAATGCAGTTCATTCCACTTTATACATATGGCAACTTTCCACACATTGTCTATACAGAAACAACTGTTTACTAGGGATGGGGTACCTCCCCTTCTCTTTA